TCCATTTCACTTACTCTGTACAGTGCCTTCTCTGCTTTGGCCATGGCCTGCACCTTACTCTGGCCTGCAGTCACCTCTCACAAGTATATATATTTGGGGTGGAAAACTGCAAGAAGGAGAATGTATTAGTACAAAGCCGTTGCCGTGACTGCACAAACAATTTAAATAAAGTGTCTTTCCTAGCAGATCCGAGGCATTCCTTCCCTCCCAGATTCCTTTTTCAGAATGGTCTTAACTTCAAACCCGATCAGTAATACACACCTGCTGATAAGAGGAGCACTAAGAATTCCTCTGAAAAACACCCATGGCTTCTCTTGGAAAAGAGACTCTAGAGATCTTAGGTAGGTTAACAATAACACTTTTTCCCAGGTGCATACCAGCTAGTGGTACTACGGAATTTTTCTCCTTAGACTTTATTCCTCTTAGGTTGGAATAGCTTTCAATTGGAGTTCTACAGTTCCCAAATTGTGTTTGGCCTCAGATTGGGAAGCAATGTGGTAGGGCAAGCTTGCCTCCTTCCAGGTATTAACCTGGCCCTGCTGGGAGAGGTATCACTTCGGCACAGCCTGTGTTGTGTCTGCGTAGATAGATGAAGACACTTGTTTTGCTTTTTAAGTTTCTTTTTCCTCATGTATACAGGCAGAAATTATTGTCAGAGTCATGAGCATTGAGATGAGGCAAATGAAGTGATCGGTGTACAGAACAGGCTCCAGTAAACATTACCTTAAACAAGTAAAATGGTTAAATGGTTGCTCCTTAAGTTGCTCTTCTCTTAGTTTGAAACCTTTGTTGAGAAGTAACCCCACTCAAAATAATCTGTATTTAAGAACAACCTCCAAGGCGGGGGGGGGGGGGGGGGGCTTAGTTTGAACTCAAGACAATTTGATTTGAATTTTCCTGCAGCCAGAGTTGGCAGGGTTAATGCGCACCCGCTGAGAAGCCATGCGGCTACCTTCTGGCAGCCCATATGCAGATGCTGCTGTATTAATTACCAAAGAAAACCTGATTAACTCAGAAGTCCTTTAACTGTCAGGGAGGCAGCTGCTCCAGCTTGGGAACAGGTTTTCCTCCTCCCTCCTACCGTCAGGCTGCAGCTTTTCATCTCTTCTTTAGAGGACCTCTACGACTGCACAGTTGGCTCTCTCAGCCCCTGACCACTTCAGTCAACTCTCTGATCTGTAGTTATAGTGGTCCAGAGCATGGGTTGCATAATTAATTTAATATATAATTTAAAATAAAAACAAGCAAACAGCATCACATCATTATTCTCTCAACAGTTAAAACTGACAGTATCCTAGGATTTTAGAATTGGAATGGATGTTACAGATGATCTCAGTTTACAGATGAGCGACTCCAGGCTCAGAATGGTGAAGGATGGAGCGGATCGCCAAGGTCACCCAGCTTGTCAGTGGTGCAGCCAGCCATCAGGGTCTGCCCTGCACGCTAGTCCTGCTCTCGCTTCGGTGTTGTGCTCCTCATCACCGGGCCATGTGCCCAGAGAAACAAGAAGTCACACTGCTACTTTGAGCTCCATTTCTCTCTCCATGCCTTTGTTCAAATCTAGAAGACAAGTCAGATATCAGTTAGAAACCTGAAGACTGGTGGTAGATGCAGAGGGCTTGGGTGGCGATGTATGGAAAAGCAGAGATACCGATATCCATATCAGAGACCTTTCTTGAGCCCAATAGGTTGCACAGAGAACCCTAGCGTAGTTTCTGGAAACTGGGCTCAACTTCAGCCTCCTTTTTTGTCACACTGGTTGTTGGTTGTTTTGACAATAGCAGGTTTATTTGTCGGGACTTTTTGGAGGAGGGGTGGAGAGGGGAAGGTGATAATTTGGATCAGATGAATAATGGGGTGTGTCTGCTGCGGTTTTGGCTGATGCAGCGTGTTTTATTGGCTTTCCTGTAGTTGACACTTTGTCTCAGAGGTGTTGAGTCTTCTTCCCCGTGTCCTGAAAAGTGGCTTTAGTTGCCACTTTTTTTCTATTATCTATTCTCTATTCTATTATCTTCACTCTATTATCTGTTCTCTTAGTAGAGGCAGTAACAAAGTTCATTTAGGTTTTTTTTTTTTTTTTTTTAAGATTTATTTATTTATTTGAAGTGCGGAGTTACAGAGAGGCAGAGAGAGAGAGAGGTCCTCCATCTGCTGGTTCACTCCCCAGATGGCCGAAGCGGCTGGAGCTGCATCTGAAGGCAGGAGCCAGGAGCTTCCTCCAGGTCTCCCATGTGGGTGCAGGGGCCCAAGCACTTGGGCCATCTTCTACTGATTTCCCAGGTCATAGCAGAGGGCTGTATAGGAAGTGGAGCAGCCAGGACTTGAACCGGTGCCCATATGGGATACAGCTTTACCCACTATGCCACAGTGAGGCCCCTGGCTTGTTTTTATTATTATGAAACAACCTTTATTCTAGGAATTGAGAGATTAGTGTGAATTTATACTGAGACATTTATGTGAGACTCTCAGGAGAACCAGGGAAAGAGGAAAGTTGGAAGGTGTGTATGAGAGTGAAGAGTCCCGCCAGCTTCCTGTTCCAGCTGACAGTGCCAGTTCAGTTCTGCAAGGGGAACAGGGGATCTGTGTTATTTTGTCCACATGTGCTGTCCATGTTGACACTGAGGAGGTTTTCAGGAGTGATAGTTGGCCTTCAATTGTTCATCGTGATACTGGACTTCTCAAAATGCTGAATGGGTTTGCTGATGACTTCCTGTACACAACTCTGTATAATGACTCTGTATAATGAATGGATTGTTTTTTAAAAAAAAACAAAAAGATACTTTGGAGCCAGCCCTGTGGGGTAATAGGTTAAGCCTCTGCCTGCGGCACTGGCATCCCATATGGGCACCAGTTCAAGTCCCAGCTGCTCCACTTCTGATCTAGCTCCCAGCTAATGGCCTGGGAAAGCACACGTGGGAGACCCAGAAGAAACTCCTGGTTTCTAGCTTCTGATCGGCACATCTCTGGCTGTTGTGGCCATTTGGGGAGTGAACCAGCAGATGGAAGACCTCTCTGTGTCTTAAAAATCTTTAAAAAAAAAAAAGATTTATTTATGTATTTACTTATTCTAAAAGCAGAGTGACAGAAAGAGGGAAAGACAGAGATCTTCCACCATCGCTTCACTCCCCTAATGCCCTCAACAACCAGGGCTTGGCCAGGATGAAGCCAGGAGCCAGGAGCTCCATCTGGATTGACAAGGGTGGCAGGGGCCCAAGTGCTTGGGCCCTCATCCGCTGCCTTCTAACAGCAGCAGCAGCAGCAGCAGGACTGAATCCCAGGCATTCCAATGTGGGATGCCGGTGTCCCAAGTGGTGCCTTAGCCCACTGTGCCACAAGGCTGTTCTTCCTAGTTTAATAATTATAAACAGATAATCAGAAGAAATCGTGGTAAGAATAGTCTAATTGTAAGCAAGGTATGAAGGGACTCAAGACTAGCCCATTGCTATGTGCTCAGTGATCAGATACACAGGCAGTTGGCTGTGTCCCCTTACTTTTTGATTGTGGGCCAAAGATTAGGCAGTAGTCGGATATTTTGTGCTTGGTAAGTACCTCTCACAGGTGATGCACTCAGCTAATGCTCTTTGCTGTTTCAGAGGAGCCCATCTCTTTGACGGGAGAGTGATTTCCTTGTTTCAGTGTCTGGTGTCACTGATGTATATGTGCAGGCCAGGTGGTGTCCTTACAAACACATAGGAAAGGCAGTGCCCCAGCGAAATGTGCAGAGGGCCTGGGTGAACAAGATCTCTAACTTTTCGGATGGTTCTGTGTGTGGAAGAGAAGGAAGCTTGAGGATTTGAAATAGTAGGTACAGCCTCTCCTGCTTCAATTATGCCAACAAAATACACAGCCTACAGATGGTGTCATGGAGCTTATGGTTAGGTGACTAAAGGGAGTGCTATTCAGTCAGTTCAATTATGATGTTTGCATTTGGCTCAAAGACTGACCTTCGTACAGCCAAGAATTGCGTGTCTGAGCCTCTCTGAACACTGGTGAGGGCTGCCTGGATCTTACAAGTGGAGAAGAGGGGAGTGATCTAGTTCAGACTCTGAGAGTGGCACTGAACGAGTCTGGTTCTTCTCAAGCAGAGGCTCTCATACCTGGGGAGCTTTTTGTTCTCTCTTGAACACTGTTTGAACCTGTTTAGGGACGGCATCCATGTGGATTAGTGGTGGGTGTCCTGGAAGGAGAGTATTTCCGAGATAGATGACATCTCTTCCTGGATTTGCCTGGATTTTATCCTAACAGGCAGCTCTTCCCCTTTGTCTCTCCCGGGGTCTTTTTACCGGTAAATGGAAGGATATGACTTGATTGCTAGGCATTGATCTTAATCGGGCTCCTGATTTTGTAAGAAAACAGATTACTTGGCAGCTGGATTGCTGTCACCGGCTATCAGAGAGATGAACTAGAAGACATTCTAAAGTTCATGCAGACTCGAATCGCTTTTCATTTCATCGTGTGTGTGTGTGTGTGTGTGTACACAGATTAGTTCATGCAGTTATAAAATGTCATAAGTGAGAAAAGTAACAAGGAAAAACTGCATAAGTAGAGAAATTTAATGGGCCACGTATGTTCAAGTAGTAGTTGTCCATGGAAAAGGTTTTAATTTTCACTTTTGAGGTATAGTTTGCTATTGGACTGTGTCCTAGTTAGTGTGTTGCCTTCTGGCTTTGTCATTTTAACGATCTTGTGTTTGTGAATTGGGTCCTCCTAAATTCCTTAGGCTGTTCCTCCCCTGGATGAAAAAGGGGGTGGTGAGAGATCACGTCATTGCCATCTTTCTGGATTAAAAAAAAAAAAAAGGTGGCTCACTGGAGAGATGCTAGGAGGGGGATTCTGTTTGATGGGATATTTTCCTGTATCTCCTTCAACTGAGAGTCTCCTGGAATCTCTCATCTAGAACCCTGACATCCTGATGGGGTCTCAGTGTGAGTCTCTTGAAACTCTCCTCACTGTTCTCTCTCTACTTCTTTTCTCCTTCTCCCCCTCTCCCCTGCCCCAAGCAGGCCAGCTCAGCTGCATTTCCTTCCCGCCTAAGGAAGAAAAGTACCTGCAGCAGATCGTGGACTGCCTCCCTTGCATACTGATCCTGGGCCAGGACTGTCATGTGAAGCGCCAACTGTTGAACTTGCTGCTGGGGGTGCAGGTGCTTCCCACTGCCAAGCTGGGCAGTAAAGAGAGCTGCAAGCTACGGCGCCTCCGCTTCACCTATGGGACTCAGACCCGGGTCAGCCTGGCACTCCCTGGACATTATGAACTAGTGCACACGCTGGCTGCTCACAAGGGCACCTGGGAGACCATCCCCGAGGAGGACCTGGAGGTCCACGAGGACAGTGAGGATGCCGCTCACGTTTTAGCCGAACTGGAGGTGACGATGCACCATGCTCTCTTACAGGTACCAATCCCGTGCTTACTCACCAGCTGTGCACACAGGCACCAGCTTGCCTTTTGTTTTGACTTTCTCAAAAAGTAGTTTGGTGACACACACTCTGGGGTCTGAGCAGAAGCAGGTGGAGTCAGAAGTCATAATCTAGAAAGCTGGAAAGTGGACAAGGCCGCAGCAGCGCCACCCTGCCCCTGTGTATGAGCCGCGAAGCCCTGAGAGACGTGCTTGTCTCCTTGCCACCTTCCCTCTCGTTCTAACGGGAAAGGAGTGTGTGGTACTTGCATCATCTTGGTAAGCTTTTACAGAAGAGTTCCCATCCGTGTTAGAAATCCTTCTTTATTTCTTCGTAGGAAGATGTTGCTGGGACTGTCTCCAGCTACCCGTTTCTAATTAAGGGTCTCTTAGAATGGAGATCAAGTGAAGAATTGGGGAGTTTTTTCCTTCGTGGTAGCTATTTATTTACTAAACAGGACAGATCATTTCTTTGGAGGGAACTGGGGAGAGTGAGGGTGTGTCCAGCTCGATGTAAGGAGACAGGAAGAGTCCATCATTTGGAGATTATTTTCTCTGCCCTCTTACAGTGAGAGCACAAATGCTGTGGCATCGCCCAAGGTCACAGTGCCTGTCGGGCTCGCTTCTTCACTCAGGGAGGCCTCCTCGCTCGTCTGGGCTTCCTTCCTACTGGGCAGCTAGGACCAGGCTATGTAATTAGACCGCATGGGGATCAGCAAAGGACGTGACGGTGTCAGATCGGGAGTAGGCAGGAGAAGAATGGAGACATGCTCAGAACACAGAGTTCCTCACCCTGCTTAGCTGTGCCAGGAAGGGCCGGCTGACCTGGAGGACTTGGCCTGTCACCCAGTGAGTCCTTTGCATTGAGTCATGGCCTGTGACACCCTGTAGGCAGAAGCTCTCGTCTCATTTCCCCCACAGCCCATGTTTCTTTTACCTTTGTTCATCCTCAGGGGACTGTGTGATGAGCCCCCTTTTCCCTTGGCTGAGTTTTGGGGGTGGGTTTCACACGAGGAGCTCACCCTTAGCTCCAGTGCGTGGGTAACAGTGACAGTAGCCCTGGCGGTTGTTCTTGTTGATTGGCTGAGGTCCGTGTGGTCAGCCTCTCCCACAAGGATTTGGTCCGCACAGTCTCTGTAGTGTTCTGCCCTAGTTATTTCCTTCACACTTCCAGCAGTGCAGCGGCTTTCACGTTTCTGAGATTTTAAGATGTGAGAAATACTTGCGTGTTTTCAGTCCTGCCGTTTGCCTGTGGATGGACCTGAAAGACATCGTGCTAAGTGAGATAAGCCAGACGCAGAAAGACGAGTTGTGCAGGATCTCACACATGGAATCCGAGAACACGTGGAATGTTCAGAGATAGCAGATCAAGCAGTGGTTGCCGGGAGAGAGGGAGGGAGATGTAGGTCAGTGGATAAAAAATAGCTATGTAGGGTGAACAAGGCTGGAGATGCAGTGTTCTCCATGAGGACTGTAGTTAATAACGCTGTGTTATATTAAGGGTCTCGGCTTATATTTTAGCTGTTTTTATCAGAGAAAAAGTAACTAAGTAAGATGACAGATATGTTAACTTGCTTCACCACAGTAACCATTTCACTATCTTGTGTCCATAACATCATGTTGTAATCCTGAAATGCACAGAATACAACTTATTCTTTAAGAAAGAGAAATATCTGGGGTCGGTGCTGTGGCGCAGCTGGTTAATGCCCTGACCTGGAACGCCGGCATCCCATGTGGGTGCCAGTTCGAGTCCCGGCTGCTCCACTTCCGATCAGGATCTCTACTATGGCCTGGGAAAGCAGTGGGTCCCTGCACCCACGTGAGAGACCCAGAGGAAGCTCCTGGCTCCTGGCTTCGCATTGGCGCAGCTCCAGCCGTTGCATCCAACTGGGGAGTGAACCAGCGGAAGGAAGACTTCTCTCTCTCTCTCTGCCTTTCCTTCTCTCTCTGTGTAACTCTGACTTTCAAGTAAATAAATAAATCTTTAAAACAAAAGAGAGAGAGAGAAATGTTTTTCTCAGGCCTGAGCTGTGGAGCACCGAGTGAGCTGCTGCCTGTGACACCGGCATCCCATGTGGGTGCCAGGTTCAGTCCTGGCTGCTCTGCTTCTGATCCAGCTGTCTGCTGATGTGCCTGGGAGGGCAGTGGAGGATGGCCTGTGTGCCTGGGCCCCTGCCACCCATATGGGAGACCTAGGTAGAGTTCCTGGTTCCTAGCTCCAGTGCGGCCCAGCCCTGGCCACTGTGGACATTTGGGAAGTGAACCAGTGGATGGAGGATCTCTCTTTCTGTGTTTAACTCTGCCTTTCAGTAAAATAATTGTTAAAAAAAAGAAAAATAACATTTTAATTTTTTAAAAAAAGATTTATTTTATTTATTTGAAAGACAAAGTTACAGAGGAAGGCAGAGACAGAGAAAGAGGTCTTCCATCGCAGGTTCACTCCCCAGATGGCCGCAATGGCTGGAGCTGCACCAATCCGAAGCCAGGAGCTTCTTCTGGGTCTCCCACGTGGATGCAGGGGCCCAAGGACTTGGACCATCCTCCACTGCTTTCCCAGGCCATAGCAGAGAGCTGGATCAGAGAGGAACCGCCAGGACTAGAACTGGCGCCCGTTTGGGATGCCAACACTTCTGGCCAGGGCTTTAACCCACTGCGCCACAGCTCCAGCCCTGAAAAACAGCATTTTCTATCAGGACTTAGTACATACCTACTGATATACATTTTTAAAGATTTATTAACTTATTTGAAAATCAGAGTTAGAGAGAGAAGGAGAGGCAGAGAGAGAGAGAGAGAGAGAGAGAGGTCTTCCATCCGCTGATTTACTCCCCAGTTGGCCACAATGGCTGGAGCTGTGCCAGTCCGAAGCCAGGAGCCAGGAGCCAGGAGCTTCTCTGGTTCTCCCACACAGGTGCAGGGGCCCAAGCACTTGGGCCATTTTCTGCTGCTATGGCTTTCCCAGGCCATAGCAGAGAGGTGGATTAGAAATGGAGCAGCCTGGTCTTGAACTGGCACCCATATGGGATGCCAGCACAGCAGGCAGTGGCTTTATCTGCTATGCCACAGCGCTGGCCCCCAGATACACACCTGAAATAAAAGTTTCATGAAACTATGCTTTTCCTTCTGTAAAATACATTATTTTCTTCTCTGTTCAATTTTTAAAAAAAATATTTATTTTTTATTTATTTGAAAGTGAGAGAGAGAGATATCTTCCATTTGCTGATTCACTTCCCAAATGGCTACACCAGCCAGGGCTATGCCAAGCCAAAGCCAGGAGCCTAGAGCTTCTTCTGGGTCCCCCCATGGGTGGCAGGGGTCCAAGCACTTGGGCCATCTTCCACTGCTTTCCCAGGTGCATTAGCAGGGAGCTAGATGGGAAGTGGAGCAGCCAGGTCTTGAACCAGAGCCCATAGAGGAATGCCAGCATCTTAGGTGGTGGCTTAACCTATTATGCCACGCCAGCCCCTCAACTGTTTTTTTTTAGATGATGGTAAGAACCCGTAAGGTTGGTCCCATGACCGGACACATTGTATGCTTACAAAACACTGTTAAGTAGCTGCAATGACTACTGTAAGTTGGTGGTGATTTTTCAAAACAGAATGTGACTAAAGCTACCTGCAGGGAGGCAAGTTTCTTGATTTCTCTGTGTCTGCTCATATTGTTGTCTAAATTTCTAGTGCTCATTTACTTTCGTTCCATGAGTTGGGTTGATACAAGACAGCCATCGAAGGCAAGTGCAAGCAGCTCCTCAAGTGTGTATCTGAGCACAGACGCTCCCCGGAGCTCCCTGCGCTGATAGCTGGTATGCTAAGCACACGAACGGTCTCGACTGAGAAGCCCACCTGGGTGGGATGTTGAGATACTGTGTGAGTCTGTCTGCATGGTGAAAATGCATACCCCACTCTCTGCTTGAGGAGTCTCCAGCCCTGTCTGTTTTTCATGTGGCTTGTGAGGCTTCCTCAGCTACTGTTTCTCCGGATCTGCTTTATTCTCCAGTGGTTTTGATGTAGAGCTAATAACAGACCCCAGCGGTTGTTCTAAGTTTAGAACCCCTTGATGCTGAGCCTCAGGGGTCCCTGCGGCCTCTGTGGAATCCGAGCACGGCCCTTTCACTACAGTCCGGCTCCTGTCCTGTGAAATACATCAGAGATGTTCTGCTCACTGCCCGGGGCGCTGCACAGCTACCTGGAGGACTGTGGACGCCTGTGAGAAAGCGCTTTTTGTTTAGTCCCAGTTATATTTAGGACCAGTGAGTTAGCTCTGAACAGCCCTTCCATCTGGTTTGTAAAGAGGGTGGGGAAGAAAGGAAACATTTAGCTAAAGGAAACCAAGATTGAATTAGGGGAAATGGGATGTTCATTTTTAACTGTCAAACTCTCAAAGCAGAATTTCCCCCTGCCCTCTTATACAATGCTCATTCTCTAATACGTTACTTTAAAGCCCTCATAAATTAGCCATTTTCATTTTGTTCCAGAATAGAACAAGTTGTATGGACCCACATTGCATAGTATTCCCAGCCTTTGAGGTCTTAGCTGGGAATTTGACCTGAGAGAGTGTGGAGAGCCTCGTGGAGTGATAGCACAGTATTTTTCCAGCTGGCGGCACACTTCCCCACCCCCCTGTTCACTAGTTCTTTCTTTACATACACGAAAACTTCCTTCTGCCTCCTCCCAACTCCCTCTTTCCAGAGCCTGTACCTCCTTCCCTCTGTAGAACAGCTGTGCCTCCGAGTTGCTCAGTCTGTGTGTTTGAACACCTGTAAGAAGAGGAATGAGAAGTAGCAGAGATCATTAAACTTGCATCGCCCAAGATGGGTTCCTGCAGGCCGTTTACTGTGGCCAGCACCTAGCTCCAGGTGTTTTACTCCTGGCATTAGCCTGTCCCCTGGAGCTTTCTGGCCCTTTGGACAAATGTCCACATCAGCTGGCAGCCAGGCTGCCACACACTGGCTGCTTGTTGGCTCAAGGTGCTGTCCAGTGGGGGATATTTCAGGGAACTGA